CTATTTCAATCCAAATACAGTGGATTGACAGATATTGATGCTGTTTCTCCTCCCTAGGAGTCACTCTTTCATTGCTTTCGTTTTCAAATTTTACTAACTTCACAAACCTAGCTATGTTACATTAGGGAACATGGTCGTGGATTCTGCGGTTTCTTAATCGATCAAAAACCCAATATGATACGAAATCAGGTTAGATCATGCTTAACACTGTCTACTGATGCCCCCAAACATCCACTCAGTATTTAAGTTTCATTAGGAAATCGGGACGAAAATTTCAAGTAAGTTCGTATRAACTTCACTAGGTCCTAGGGTTTGAAGAAATTTTAAAATGATCAAAAAACGTGCATCTTCATGAACAATTGCAATATCTTTCCACCGTTTTAATGTAGTGCTACTAAATTCAAGCTCATACATTCTAGATAACTGTACTAGATGTCCTCAAAATTGCATGCAAAACTATTAAGTAGGTTTGGAGTTAGAAGGATTTTCTTGGCCAAAGTTGTCGAAATGTGCGAAACCGAAAAGTAGCTGTTTTGAGCAAATCTAACCATTCCAAGCGGATAATGATAACTTCTTACAAACATTGAGGATAGGAATGGATTTTATACCAGTTGATAAGAGGTTTCTTYCGCACACTACACCAAAAGTGGAGGATAAAATAACATAATTCTAGGAAGTTATGATTTTTTATATGTACCCCTGTAAAATGGCGTTCAAGTTACAAATGGGAAAGTTAGGGTTAAGTTGGAATAAAGTTTTCTCCAGGTTCCATTTTGTTCGCGAAACTTAATCTCTTGCCATGAATAGAATCAATTCGGTGAATCCTAATACACAATTGAGTTGCTTTCGCTAATTTGCTTGTTTTGAATTTTTAATCTCCAACATTAAAATGTTACAAAAGGGAACATCGGCGAAAAATACCGAAACTATAGCTTCTTCTACAAGACTTTTTTGTAAGACTTTTTGATGTAGAATTCTAATATGCGCATCACCAACTTGTTAGATAGTTTGTAAGAGTGTAAAATAGTGTTTTGTTTTGCAGAATAYGGCGTTTCTCCCTTGTTTTATCCGTCAGCATTTAGATACATAATTCGCACGTTTTTGATGTCTTGTGTTTGTAATCTTTAATCTGTAACAGCTGTACAGCTACTTCTAATAATAACATTAGTTCGTCATTTTTATTATTGCATTTGTTTAAATCGTTTCATCAGTGCATTTGCGCATTTACGTAAGAGGCTCATCACTTTTATATGAAAGAAAACGGAGGATGAGCTACATAGTCGCGATTTTTGAATTTTAAAACATTTTACTAAATAACCTTACTTTACAAACTCAAGGCAGTCAAGATGCTGACACACGGTGCAACATTGCACGCAACAGCATGCAGCGTGTCTACCCCATGTTGTTGCACGCAATATTACATGCAACAATTCTGAAGTTGAATCGCGCTCTGCTGTTGCAACATTGTGCGCAACAAATGTCATCATGTGAACATGTTTGCAACATTTTGAAATTTCCAGCCAATCAGCTTGCACCAAATTTATAACTGCTGACCAAATATCTTAGCATAGCAGGCTGACACAAGCGATGTTGCATGATATTGTTGCAATGTCACTGCGATTCAAATTTGTTGCTTGCAATGTTGCGTGCAATGTTGCACCGTGTGTCAGCAACTTAAACGCCATTGAAATCTTGATGATAACATAAAGGCCATAACTATAATAAGTATAGCTGAAGTTACNGTGCAATGTTGCACCGTGTGTCAGCAACTTAAACGCCATTGAAATCTTGATGATAACATAAAGGCCATAACTATAATAAGTATAGCTGAAGTTACTTGCACTAMTTCAATCGTTTGTTGCATTGCACTGTGTAAAAATACCATTAAACTTCAAGGAAACAAAAAACAATCGAACACTGTGTGTCATCAGCACTAATGACGACTTCTAAAGTAACGTAAAACATAGTTAAGACGTACGATAGAGTTCAAACTACTTCGTTCATTATTTTTATCATTGCATTCGTTTAAATCGTTTCATTATTGCATTAGCGCATTTACGTAAGAGCCTCATCGCTTTTATATGACTAACAAAACGAAGGATGTTTGACACAGTCGTGACTTTTGAATCTTAACACATTTTGCTAAATAACCTTGCTTTACAAACTCACGGCAGTTATGGTGCTGACATACGGTGAAACATTGCATGCAACATTACACGCAAAAGGACTGTCGTAGCGTGTGTCTACCACAAACTTGTTGCACGCAACGTTGCATGCAACAAATCTGAAGTTGAATCGCGCTCTACAAATKTCATCATGTGAACATGTCTGCAACATTACCTGCAACATTTTGAAACTTAAAGCGAAACAGCTTGCACCAAATTTATGACTGCGGACCAAATATCTTAACATAGCAGGCTGACACAAGCGATGTTGCATGATTTTATTCCAATGTCACTGCGATTCAAATTTATTGCTTGCTGATGAGTGCAATGTTGCACCGTGTGTCAGCAACTTAAACGCCATTGAAATCTTGATGATAACATAAAGGCCATAACTATAATAAGTATAGCTGAAG